ATCAATCAAATCATTTAGGATGGGGAAACCCCCAAAGTAATAGAGAAATAGAGAATTAAGGGAGCCTTGACTAAACAGTTTACCCTGCCAAAGTGAAAGTGTGCACCCCAGACTGCTGTTTATAAGTATATTTTGTATTAGACATATGACGCCATTTATAGAACATTAAGCCACAATTTTGTATTATGGGCACTTATCTGTAGTTTGGGGGGAAATTGGGGCCCTCCCTGATTCCGTGTTGCTAAACAGCCCGGTTGATATCATGGAGCTTCAGCTCCCAGTCAGTTTGATTAAAATTCCCTCATAACTAATTGACAACACTCAGCAGCACTTTTGAAGCTGGGAGCAGAACATCTGCCACCTTTGAGAATCAAAACAAGAGTCAGACACTGCAGAGCTTTGAATGGGCTGATACCATTGAGATTTCACATGAGCCACTGTTGGATGTGCTTGTGATTGTGCGAGAAAAAAAGGTGATTTGGAACAAATTATGGCCTTCTTGAAAAATGTTCACAGTTTTTGTTTAGTCTTGAATAAAAATGGAGTCCTCTTTCATGTTTCTTATTAGAAATGAAAGAATGTCAGAATTTTGAAGACTGATTAGTCAGAAGATACCTGCAATTAAATGCTGACAAGTCCATACTCCAGTTTAAAATACTGTATTTGTAATTACATTTCACTCACTAGAGTGAATTACCTATTGCATATTATAGGAAAACCTATTAGACACATCTACAATTAAAATTTTCTGATGATCTAATCATTCTGATGAGTTAAAATACAGTTTTTGATATCTAAAATTCATGTTTCATTTTGCTATATGCTTCATTTTCTGCACCCTGTGAATGGGGCAAAATCAAGGCTCTCAGTTGCACCAAACTCTTCATCATGTAATAAATGTCAAACCCTCTTCTTGTGCATTTGTCTATGGGGAGGGTTACATTTACCACAAATTTCTTGAGCATAAACTTATGGCAATTTTCCAATATTTTCTCAGTGACTGCTACTGACATTGTGTCAATCTGAAGTGACATCCACCTAGGGAAATACTACAAAGCTATCAGGGCAAGAAGTAAACTTGGTTACTAAGTCTGATTTACTGAGTTACTGTTAAAAAGTATTTGTTAAGGAGGCAGTAAATACGTATATACATACATGTAGGCATTCAAAATGTCATGCATATTGTATTTGCAGTGCCCAGTCTGTGGTGCTGCGTCAGTAATGCAATGTTTTTAACCCTGCATGAGGATCATAAAATCAGTATAGTAAAATCTGTCAGTACAGGAAGTATTCAGACTCTTTCAAGTTTTACACATTTTGTTATGCTTCAGCCTTTTTCTGAAGGGTGTGACCATGTAGATGCTTCTCAAAAGACAAACTTTATGCTGAATTGACAGGTTATCGTGCTCATTAAATTCACTTATTGCAGGTTCAATTGTGATAGTGCATAAGGTGACAGTTCCAAAACAGTCAGCTATTGTTGCAGCTTAGCATTACATCTCTTTCTTGCCACGTTTTCTTTCTTGTTTCTTTTCTCGTGATTTCTTCCCACTTATGCACTTAAGAAAGTATGACAGTACTGATCACGTTGAGTAGTGCCACATTAGTTAACAACTGGTGTAGCACACATTAAATATAAGGCAGGGTCCGGGTACAATAGCTGAGATGTGTAATGTAGGCAGTGGTGGCCTAAAGATTAGAGGAGCGAGCTTGTGACTGGACAGTTTCAGGTTCAATTTCTGGACCAGCAGGATAAAATCTGGATGAGACAGATAACAGCGCAGCAACACCCCCCACCCCACTGCATAAACACCATGATCAAGGTGCATCTGTTGAGCAAAGAGAGTATAAGGATACTGCTCCTGTCAAAACCGATAATTTAGGACCCTGGGATGACTCACCACACTGTTTTTATATTTTGGTTTCATACATCAAAGAGTTTTTATATTACTAATCATGTGACTTTAGTGTACAAATGGGCAGCGAGACAGATGCTACACCTCACTGGGTGCGTTAATACCTGTATTGACAACATTGTGCCCAGCATACAAGTCAGGAGGTTTCCCAACCAGAAGCCCTGGATAAACAGTCAGGTACGCCACATGCTGTGTGCTCGCTCTTTTGCATTTAGATCAGGCAATGGGATGGAGTACAAAGCTGTGAAGTATGGACTGAGGAAAGCCATCACAGCGGTCAAGAGGCAGTACAGAGAGAAGCTGAATGGCTTCTATTCTACTGCTGACTCCGGACAGATGTGGCAAGGCCTGCAGCACATCGCAGACTATAGGGCCACCACCAGCATCATCAGCTCCACAGACAGCCTGCTGGGTCTTATGGTCTTATATTGGTCTTATATTTGTATAGCGCCTTTCTATGCTTTACAGCACACTCAAAGCGCTTTCACACTATTTGGCCATTCACCCATTCGCACTCCCAAACACTCACACATTCACACACCGGTGACATCACCGGGAGCAACTGGGGGTTCAGTGTCTTGCTCAAGGACACTTCGACATGTTGACTGGACAGGCCGGGAATCGAACCGCTAATCCTCCGGTTAGGACACGACCCGCTCTACCTCTTGAGCCACAGCCGCCATTAGTATTAGTATTAGTATTAGTATTAGTATTAGTATTGCTGCAGCATCTTTATTGGGTTAAGGTCTGGGCTCTGACTTGGCCATGCCAAAAGGTGGATTTTGTATTTCCGAAGCCATTCTGTTGTGGACTTGCTCCGGTGTTTTGGGTCATTGTCCTGTTTCATCACCGAACTTCTACAGAGTTTCAGCTGATGTACAGACATTCTCACATTATCCTGAAAAAGTTTTTGATACACTTGGGAATTCATCTTCCCCTCAATGATTGCAAGCTGGCCAGGCCCTGATGCAGCAAAGCAGGCCCAAATCATGATATTTCCTCCACCATACTTTACGGTTGGAAACTGGATAATTGCACACCCACTGCTGACTACTGCAGATACAGCTTCAGTGTATTATATGTTATCTCTAATTGTGTTCTCATTATATTTTTTATATACTTTTTATTGTATTTCTTTTCACTCGCTGGTTGAAGTGCCTTTAGATCTTTATGACACTGTTTATCTACTTTATATTTTACTTGTGTTGTTTGGCATTCAGTGTGGACAGCAAAGTAAAAATTTCATTGTGCAGGGAAACACGTTTCCATACTCTGCATATGAAAATAAACACTTTGAATCTTGAATTTGGAATAAAGGCACTACAATGTTAAGACACAAAGGGATTGTTGCAGACAATGACATTGTGGAATTAATTGTGGGAGTAATATTCTTGATTTCTCCCAAGTGCTATGTTTTGCCTTGTTTTTTAGGTATCTTTGATTTGCTTCTCAGAGGTCCTTATGGTGTTAGTTGTTCCTGTGGTGTTTTGTTGTTTGCTCGCTATTGCTACTGGAACACAGGAATTCCCCCACTGTAGGATCAATAAAGCCTTACCCTACCTTGAAACAGTGCTGCCTGTGATGTGAGAGCTTCACCTATTTTAAAAAGAATTATTCCTTTTATCCAACTAAACTATTGGTGATGAACATCGTTGAAACTAAACACAAGCGAAATATTTAACTGGTGCGACGAGTCATCCTAGGGTCATAAATTAAAGGTTTTTGACAGACGCTGTATTCTTATACTCTCTTTTGGAGCTGCTCAGTGGCCACAGGTCAGCCTGTGGTTGTACTGGGCAACTTCCAGGTGTGCATGTGTGACTGTGTGAATGTGAACATGCTGTCTCTGAATGAAAGAGAGGTGGACCTACACTGAACAAATAAAGGTAAAAAAAAAGAACACTGAGCACAAGCATTTTGCCATATGTTATATGTTGTTGGCTACAATGAACTGAGAAGCAAATTGCTTACTAACTAGTGAACCAAATGCACTGTGTATTAATCTGCTGAAAGGTGCACAGATCAGTACAGCTTTATTGTATTCATATTATATGGGATATGCATTTCTGTTGGCAGGCCAGTGTGTATGGAACTGACTCAAAATAAAGTACAGTGTGTACTTATCCTTTAATTCAACAGGTAGTGTTACTTATATGAATTATCCATTGATCAGCACACCTGTTGCATGTCACAAGTCTTCTACAAGTATTTAGACTTTGACTGAGGTCTATAAATCACTGTTAGTTTGGGGTGTAAGATAATCATCAAAGGAGCATATCTGTAATTTAAGGCCAGTCCAAATCTGCCGTATGTTTAATTTTTCATGAACTACAACATTATCTGGGTTTTCCAAGAAATTTAAAATTGCTGGCGACTATTTCAATTGTGAAAAGATCATCTGCTCAAATTGCACTTGAAAGTGGTGCTCACACCACGCTGTGATCCAACCCAGACTCTTGTCTAGTTGCCACTTTTCTTCAGTTTTGCAGCCAGGCTGTAATGTTGCTGTTCAAAGACATCAGTGTAAGTTGTACAAGTTTGGTTTGACAGATTGCACAAGTGGGAAGGCAACTCATAAACGCCACACACATCTCTAGAGTTTCAAAGACTGATTACTGTGAACGCAGTCTACAAATTATTTAAATGGCTCGGGCTTTTGGTATTGTGTAAAAGTATGACTCAGGACAGACCTACAAGGCTTTGTATAATGTTAGATCCTTCTGATAAACTGCCCGTCAAGCTAAGGTTGATGAACAGTTTGCTTGAAGGAATGCATATTCCTAATATTAGGTTACATATCAGAAACATGGGTATTTATGAAACACAAAGTGAAGTTGAATAACATGACAGTCTCACAGTCATTTTCCTTCCTCATCTACAACAGTATTAAAGCAAAGCAAAGAATGACTGGGGGTATCTACAACAGTATTAAAGCAAAAGGTTCTAAGACGTCCAATCACACACACTTCTCCCCCAGTCATTCTTTGCTTTGCTTTAAAAACTTTCAGACAGTGGCATATTCATTTTTTTGTTTGTTTGTTTTTTAAATCTGACTAGCATAAATGTCTTAAACAATTAGTTTACCTGGGTCCTAGCTCATCCTCACACCTCCAGGTGAATTCCCCAAAGCTCTCGTAGCGCTGGTTGTAGTGGTAGAGCACACGGTGCAGTGTGGGAGCGCCCAGGTCCATCAGAGTGTTATAGGCTGTCTGCTGCTCCTTTCCACTGGTGTAACCATTGAACAGGTTATAGATTTTATCTGCTATTTCTGGAAGGATATAAATAATCAGAGGTCAACAACTATAAGGAACATTAACTTCAAGCAGTGTCATGGCAGCTGCAAATGACAGAGACTATGAAAAATAAAGGAAAAAAAATCAGCATGAGGGATATCAGTAATCAGTACAGATTACTTATGTTTACTAAACTGGTTTGTTGGTACTACTTGATACCAAACAATGCTCAAGAGAAGAGGAATGAAGAGGATCTAATGCTGGTGACTCAGCTTTGTTTGGACAGGGCACAACTTTGCTGCTGTTTTGGAGACACTTAAGGTTTATTGTGGTTCACTTAGGTGGAGAACCTGTCCCTCCAGTACACACTCTTCATCAGAACAGGGCAAATCAAACCTGTAGCCAGAAAAAAACATCTTGTATTGACATCTTACTTTCCCTGGCTCTTAATTTGGAGATACACAATAAATAGGTAATAATTGAAATAGGATAAGGCCAGTCATTTTCTATATTAACAGCATTTTCAGCACTCCCTATACAGAGACTAAAACCAACAAAGATTTGCCTCTACTCATGATTAATGTCTGTCAGTGTGTCAGTCCTGGATTAGTATATTCATTTGTGCCATAGACCACCACTGATGTTCAGAACCAATTAGAAACATCTGGGAAGCACACCACTGCAATGGGGGACATGTTTCCTCATTACAAAACACCAGACCCTGATATTTGTTAAGATTATCAAGAGATCTTGTGCATGGACTCTTATCTTTTGTTTAGTTTAGTTTTGCAGTAAAAAGTATGGCCATTCAGAACCTTTGCGGCAATATTTAAAAAGGAATATAAGTAATAATAAGTTAATAACCTAACAACCCAGTCTCCACTTGAAGAAAATATCAATCCACTTTGTGTTTTAGAGTGTGTTATTATACGTAGGTAGGTAGAGTTGCTTTCAAAATGCAGTCAAAACTAGGCTGGTTACTAAAATTTGGGCAATAAAATTTGAACAAACCCAACCCACAGAGTGGAAGTATTACATCTGACACTATTCAAGTATTTCCAGGCATTAAAATCAACAGCATAAGCCCAGAAGTATCATATTTGACTGGCTGGAACATTTTAGCTGACTCACATTAGTGGCACAATCCATAACAACATCTTTGCTCCAAGCCTTTCACTGGTGCACAGGGTGACAAAGATTTCACATTTAGAACGTTTAAAAAATGTGACTATATAGAACAACACATTTTTATAGTCAGTATACACATGTGATTATTATATACAGTACAGTGTCCACAAACAACCCTACTCCAGAGAGGAAAGCATTCTGTCTATAACTACGTGACTTGCTCAGTGACCTGGCTATTAACATCTGTTTGGTGTGGTCTTGATCATAGCTGCCAACAACAAAGCAAATGTCTGTCATATTTAGTAAATTGGCTATAGCCATGTTATATTTGGATATTAGAGAATTAAGAAAATTGGACCCACAAGTTTCACATTATTTTTCTTTAGAAATATACAGTATTTCTTTAACAAACCCATACACTATCGCTTTCACAAACCATGCACATAAATGTGGCACAATGTATACAGTTCTTTCTTTTTTATGAATATTATTTCAAGCATGAGCACCATGTTGAAAACAGGACCTGTGTGAGCCACCTGCAGTCATGACTGAAAGATGATTCACCCTTCTGACTTTAGTCTGTGTTTCTTTCCTCACCTTGTGCTTTGACATCATCCACAGTTGGACATGGAGTTTTGATGGTGACCTCGCTTGAACTGGAACGGCGCCCTGTGTTGTCTACTGCCCACAGTCGGAACCTGCACACACACACACGCAAACAGAAAGAGAGAGAGAGAGAAATTTATTAATTCTACTACCAACTGCAAATGATAAACCTTTTCATTCAGAATGTTCTACAAAACCAAACTCAGTGATTTGTATCTCCAGCAATGGAGTTTGACAAATCAGCATGATGTCAGCTAGCAGTTGTTGCATTTTCTACAGCTGTTAAGTTGTTGGAAATGAGAGCCTGTATTATCAATAAAGAACTCTGACTAGTGATTGACTGACAATAAGTACCTCTTAACAGATCTAATTGATGGTTGTTTCACTGAATTAATATCATCACCTAGTGGCCAAAATGCATTGTGCATCTGCTTGGAGCAAGAATGAGGCACAGTAGCAGAGGGAAGAGAACTAATGAAAAGGAATAAAATGTATTGTGTTTAATAAGTGGCCTGGAGATACAGTAGGTAGAGTTGCATTCAAAATGCAGTTACAAATTAAAAAGATTAGTGCCCCACAAATATGCATATTTTAGTAATACTAGCAAATTGATACATGTTGTACAACAAATTTTACTGTAAACATTTCCAATAAACCTTTCAGTGCAAAGACTGCACTTTTGATGCAGCTACAGACTATGTTTTCTGTGTTATCCTTACATAATATAATGTAAATATGTCTCCCAGCACAATATATGAAGGAAGAGCTGAAGCCATGGGTTGGAGAGATGAATGAGCTGCTAGACAGGATGCAAAGAGCTGGAGCCTGGCTGAGTCTGGGATTAAAAGGATGTGTAGTCATTCACTCAGCACACATACACCAAAACTGCTTGAATAGGTTCTGTCATGGTCCTCATAGTCTTTCCCTCTCTGTGGGCCTACCTGGTCTGGTCCTTTTCTTTCATTCTCTAGCCCAAACTTTGACAAACTGTGAGACAAGTATGAGAGCATCTGAGCATGTGAGTATCTGTTTGTGCTCAAAACTATCTTGATCACAGCATCACTCATGTACTAAACTTCTTTGTTCTGCAGGCATATACATAACTAAACACTTTAAACTCTGGTTTTTAAGCCAGAAATGTGATAATCTAAATTATCATTTGTGCCATAGGTAATAATGGAATAATAATAAATAAATAAAATTATAACATTTCAGATTCTTCACTTCAGCACTTAGTACTTGACCAAAAATTGATCTTAACTGCTACTAGTTTAAAAAGGCAATATGTAAAAAAGCACCACACACTGCTTATGCTATTAGAATTACTATAATAAAAATAGTCACTTAATACATACACTTTAGTCTTTATTAAGAATTAATTTGTTTCAAAGCTACTGTACTTGGTTCTTCCTCTTTATATTAAAAGAAATTTGTAAAAAAAAAAAAAAAAAAAAATTTAGGAATTTTGGTTATTTTCTGTTAGATAGAAGAAGCAGAAGAATGTTTATTTTATTGTCATTGTAACATTGTGACACGTACAACGAAATTTTGTTTGGAGCTGAGGGGTTCCGGGCTGCTGCGTGCATGCGCATTCGCATATTCATGAGAGAAAAGAAGAGAGGAACTTAACCTACATGTATGTGGTGTCAGGTTCCAGGCAGCGAACAATCATACTGATTGAAGAGGACAGGAGGTTGGGGATGTTCCCTAACATCACACATGGAGACCTGGCCCCAGACAAGATGTCATCCACAAAGCTCAGAAGGGTTTCTACAACAGAGAGAAAGACAGTGGGATACCGTTGAGAAAGCAGATGCACCCAAATATTTCATGTATTGCTTCAAATAGCGTATATTTTCAATGCTGGATTGGTAATGATTTAATCCCAAAAAGGTTTTTAGATGATTTATTTATCTGGTGCTGATTTTCTCCTTTTAATTATTATTTTTTTTAATGGTAACTCTACTATTATAAAAATGTTTAGTTAAATTAGATTACTGCCCTTTGCCAAATCCTACTGCTGGAGAGCTGTGTAAATAGTGCACAGTTTAGTGAATTCACACCTGCCCTTTGAGGCAGGGCAACTTTGTGCTGGTTAGGGAAAGTGATCAAATTGTTTATTTCCTAAGGGCAGAAAACCTGTCGGTGTTTCGATCATTAGTGAAAAAGTCTCTCTTAAAAAGGTGTGAACACTGCAGTGTCATTGATTTAATCATACAGGCATGGTCAGATACAGCAGTGATAACGTTCTGGAACACACCTGTAGAAATGTATTGCTTTTGAATTCAGCCATTAATTTTCATTTACTGTGAAAAAGGCACAAAGAACAGTGTGCTTGGTGATACAGGTCTGAACAGGCAGTCCTTTCAACAGTCTTCATCCCTACTGTTGCAGGTTTGATGTCCAAGGGAACCTTAAGAGTAGGTGCTGAGGAAGAATCATTCACTGTCCAGCCACATTTCCCAGCAGATACTAAAACACAGACTTTTCAGCTAAATGTTTTCTTTCACTTCTATGTCTAACTCCACTACTTTTTCTACAATTCTTGTATGCACTTGCCTGGATACCTAAAAACTTCTTGATATCATCTAGAAGGCTATAAAACTACCACACAATCATTCATGTGTAGTAGGTGTCAAAATCTATTTCAATCTTACATGTGGAACAGGACTACATTTTGACAAAATGTAAACAAAATTTAATAAACCAACATTTATCTGAATTTATGTTAATTGTCATTTACTAATTTATTTTGAAAATCTGCAGCAGATTGACATTGACCAGTTGAAGCTCAGAACATTTCCACAGGAGTAAGTAAACATGCCGTCTGTGGAAGAATGTGTACTGCTGTATTTATGGAGTTGAAAGCAGTTACAATTTTGGCCCAAGGATTTTCAGCTGCATTCCAGTCTGAATGATGATAAAGTGTAATAAATATATACATACAGACATGTTAAGCTAGAGCTTCATCAAAAACAGAAAGATTGTTGTCACATGTCGTGTTGCGTTACAATTTTTTGGTGACACACTCAAGAACACAACGGGTATGAAGGCAGTCTTGCGTAGCTTGAAGTGTCTCCATTTTTCTACTTGCATGAAGTATGTTTTGGACCTAACACCTGCTTTAACCTGAGCCTGCCACATGAGAGAAAAGCAACCCTCTGACCCCCACCTCCTCCTCAGGCTTGTTTCCTGCTGCTCAGACTGGTGATGACACATGCAGCTCGCTATGTTTTCCCAGATGGTACGTCAAAGGGCATTTGCCCACTGGGATGTGTGTTACACTGTAAGGACCAAAAACATTATGCTTGGACAAACCATGACTGCGTGTGCAAAGGTGTGTGAAGGGATAGGTGCTCCGAGGTGGTCATCTGTAACCTCCCTGCACAAACGGTGCCTGTCTGTGTGTATTTATACAATATGTGTGTGTGTGTGTGTGTGATCACCCTAAAATGATCACCTTTTTACTGCAAATGCCCTGCCTCTGTATGTGCATATACTGTATATTTGTATGTGTGAGTGGTAGGTGCTCTGAGGTGGTCGCCTATGTCCTCCCTATTAGCCCTGGTTCCATCACCAGCTGGTAAACAGCAGGCCAAGTGCCATGGAGTCATGGAGAGAGAGCTGGAGGATGAAAAAAAGTGTGTAGCAGATGGTTACCCAGTACAGACTGTCATATTAGGGAGTGATATAAACAGCTCTGGAGATGTAAATGAAAAGTGACATTGTGTGGATTTGTTCCACCAAGGATATTAATTGCAAAGTTGGTTGCTTATCTGCCTAGCATGTAAGGAGGCATACATAATGTACAGTGTTTGAAACTTCAATAGAAAACAGCTTGGAAATTAAGTATATCCAGTAGTTCTTTCACTATCTGAGCAAGTTGAGCTTGAAATGGGAAATCGTGCTCAATGTCAATCTTCATATGTGGCTTTGACCTCTGAGTAAAGAAACATTGCTAACGAGAAGCTTGATGACAACAGTCATGTTACAGTATGGCAGGTCAGACAGGTCTTAGATAAAGCTCAAGGTAGATGAGACATAAAGATAAAAGTGAACAGCCAAATTACAACCCATGTAAACATCAACCAAGATGTTCTTGCAAAGTTCACCCTTCTTGCCTTTGTTATGTGCACACTGTTTTTCCTGAACTGATGGATTATTACAGACATTTCTGGTGCACTCATTATGATTTTTTTTAAACCTCGATATTAAGTGGTTTAGTTATTCTGTTTAAACTGCTGGCATATTAACTTCCTGTCTGAACATCTAAATGCTCATGTTTCTTGTTCTGTCCGGGATTTCAGCAACTTGCTGATTACAATGTCAACCAAAATGAGTGTCAGGCCTAGAAATATAAGAACCCACATTGTGATAAACAGGAATTAAACTTTTTAAAAAAATTGTCCAGAAAATCTATCACTCTCTTGAACCACATTGCACATTTGGCCGTACCTCAGTCATTGATGTCAAGGCATGCATTTTCCCATTGGCAATGTCATGTGGGCGTGATTAGAAAACTGTTAGCCAAGGACAGATGGATGATCCATTCTCACACATTCACATCCTCTCTGCTCTCACTCCCAAACCGCAGTTGTTGTTCAGAATGCAGAAGAGACTGGCGCACAACTAACTGTTCATGATACTTTAAACACAGCACTGGTGTCTGAAAATATGAAAATAACTTAGAACCTTTGGGTCACCTTAGTCTGTGGTGGACTGAGACATAACATTATTACTTTGTGTGTTCAAGTGCTAAAGAAAAGCAAGCAGAGCAGAACTGCAGTACACAGCATTCTGAACAGTCTGAGGAATCCTGCTGTGCATGGACATGAATGCTTAATGTGGGTGGTGTGCTGGACAGAGGAACAGAAAATTCACCTAATCTGACAATAACAAGGAAACACAACACTGTGAATGCTGTGTGCTGCCATGGCATTTATGGATATGACTAAACACCAGGGCAATAAAAACTAAATGCTTCTCTAATGGGTTGATTGCTGACAGCTAAAACAAAAATCTGATTCTGGAAAAGAATAGTACATCTTTCATGGTTGCTGGCTTGGCCATCTTGTGATGGTTAGTTGAAAACGGTGTGTAAAGAATCTTGACCTTTTGACCTTATTATCTGTAGGCATGATTCTTGTGACATACCATAATAGTGAATTTTTGCCCAAGTTGCAAACAGGTCAACATGATTCCACATCAAGTTGCATAAGCCTCCCCAAGAATGATACAACTTTAACAGAACAAAGGCCTCCTTGAGTTACTGGGAGCCACAAGACATACAGCAAAGCCATTTTTCATCTTAGAATGAGTTCCAACACAATTATCAATCACAGCCCTTATAGTCTTTCATGCTGAAGGTTTAGCAAGATAAAAGAATTAGATAGAGGAATATTTTATTTACTATACAATGAAAAGATTATAGAATGTGGCAAAACAGCAGAAGTGATATGGAACCCTGATATAAAAAGAAAAAAGAGTCACACCCTCCGGGAAGATATATAAATCTGAAGTTGCTCAGATTTTTCAAAACACTGAAATGTATTTTCTCTTAGCTGGTGTAACAGGCTGTGCTTCCAACCATGTGAGTAGCGTGATTCTGCATTTCAGTTCAGCAGCGCACGCCAGCCAGCGTATCCTAAGATGACATTGGTATACTGTTAAAGGTTCAGTTGGGAAGTGTTGTAAATCTTTCTTTTTAGAAAACTCAGTAAATCTGCCTGAAGCAGGAAATTCTAGCTTGATAGTCCTGGGTGGGAATCAAAGATTGTAGCAAAAGACAAACAATTAACATGGGGACAGAACTTGGAAAATATATTTTCACATGCTTTATTTGCTAATTCTATTTAAGATAAGATAAGATAAGATAAAATAATCCTTATATAAGATAATCCTTGTAACACAAACAATGAAATTTTAGTTACCTCCAGTCGGTGCAGCGATAAAAAAACATAATATATGAAATAAAATAAAAAAATAAATAAAAACACAATTATTAAAAAAACAAAATAAACAACAGACCCCTCACACACACAGGCATATTATATTTTATCCGCATTGAGTGTGGTAACTGCTGTTGGGTAAAAACTATTCCTGAACCTTATGGTCCTTGATTTGATTGCTCTGAACCATCTACCTGACGGCAACAGTTCAAAGAGTGAACATCCTGGGTGTGAAGTGTCCTTAATGATGTTCTGAGCTTTTTTGAGGCAGCAGGAACTGTGTAGTCCTTCCAGAGTGAGGAGAGGGCAGCCGATGATCTTCTGAGCCATATTAATGACCCTCTGGAGCGTTTTCCTCTGAGCCACTGTGCTGCTGCTGTACCATACACATATACAGTATATAAGGATGCTTTCAATGGAGCACCGATAGGACACCAGCAGTCTCTGGGAGATGTTGTTCTTCCTGAGCACCCGTAGGAAGTACAGTCTCTGCTGGGCCTTTTTAAGCAGTCCAGAGGTATTCATGCCCCAGGTCAGATCCTCCTTAATGTGGACTCCCAGAACGCAGAAGGCCAGAAAACATCATTAGCATTCTGAAAGTATGATTGGCTGGAAAAATCAAGGATTGCCAGGACACTGATGTAAGTTATGGGATGTCTCATCTTTTGAGGCTCTGCCTGCTGTTGTCAGTTCAGTTGTGCAGGTCTGGACCCTAAGTGTGTGTGCATGTGTGTGTGGATAAATCCAGCCAAAGCACTGGTGTTTTTCCTCTGCTTATTAATGGAAAGGGCAGGTGCTTTAAAGATAATGTTTTTTTTAACT